TATATATATATATATATATAAATATATCACAGATCAGATTTATGTCATTCTTCAGTTTGATTTTCTTTTGACCTGTGTTTGGGCACACCAATCCAGCAGTGACTTTTCTCCGCACTTGTCACGATTCTTCAACTCTTGCCCCTCGACCTTTTAATCATTGACCCGTCGCCCCTGACAACACAGCTGCAGGCCGACTGCCATGGCACTGACCCACTGATCCATCGATCCCACAGCCTGATGGATCTCCACAGTTTTATTTGAGGATCTGCCAAACAGCAGAAATCTAATCAATCGTTTCTTTCCCCTTCCCTCCATCTTGTTTTTTGTCATCGTCTCATTGAAATGCTGCATGCCCCTCCCCCCCTCCTCTAATACCCAAAGCTCAATGTGCCGATGGAGGCATGATGTTTGACAAGCAGCAGGTTCTGTTTGTTCACTCACGCCGGCCCCTGCATGCTGATGTGGGGTTTCCAGATCATCGGAATATACGGCGAAGACACGGCCCCCTGCGGACGATTCCCAGATCAAACATCCGTTTTTTCGTGAGGCTCAAGGGCGCACCTTGATCTGAGCAAGGGCATCTCCTAATGCACAACCACTCGAGAAAGCCATGATGGATGCGGCCTCTTACCAGTGAAAAGGAGCTATCCTTTGTGGATCACTGGTGTGTACACTATAGATTGGACCTCATCAAAAGCAGTTTGCTCCAGCGAGAGCCGCAATCCATTACCGTCTCAGAGTCAAGCTCTAAGCGGCTGCACAAAAAGTGTAGGATGGAGCAATAAGGAATAATTGATCAGTGACTCAAAACACTGTGATTTGGGAATGATTCATTGTTTGTCCTGGATAGCCTAAATGTGGGCCAGTAATGAGAGTGCATTACCGTGACCTCTTCATTCTCTGTACCGCCAGTGTTATTGAAAACAAGAGTTCTTCACAATTTTCCCCTCCTCAAAAGAAGCGACTAGATGTAGAGCCATCACTTTAAGTGTATGTGTCATTTCAGCGCCGCTTCTGAGAATAGACCCGCAACTGCAGTCCAATCAATGTGA